AAAGGTCTAGCCCATTTTGTTGCCCAGTCATCTAGTTCTGTGAGATCCTTTTGAAGCTCTTCACAGTCTGCCTGGAACTTAACTAATGTGAGCAGTTTGGTATCATCTGCAAATGTTACCACCTCACTGTTTATCCCTCTCTCTAGATCATATATGAATACATTGAATAAGATTGGTCCCAGTGCAGATCCTTGGGGAACACCACTAGTTACCTCTCTCCAGTTTGAAAATAGAACATTTATTCCTACCTTTTGTTTCCTACCTTTTAATCGGTTCTCAGTCCATGAAAGAACTTTCCCTCTTTCCCATGACATCTTATTTTGCTCAAGAGACTTTGGTGAGGGACCTTGTCAAAGGCTTTCTGGAATCTGAGTACACCATATCCACAGGATCCCCTTTGTCCACATGCTTGTTGACCCCCTCAAAGAATTCTAGTAGATTGAGGAGGCATGATTTCACTTTACAGAAACCATGTTGATTTGTCCCCAACGAATTATGTTCCTCTGCGTGTTTGAAAATTCTGTTGTTTGCTATAGTCTCAACAAATCTGCCCAGTACTGAAGTTAGACTCACTCACTGGTCTCTAATTGCCAGGATCATCTCTAGAGCCCTTTTTAAAAATTGGTGTCTCATGAGTTATCCTCCAGTCAATTAGTATAGAAGATGATTTAAAGAATAGGTTACAAACTACAGTTAGTAGGTCTGCAGTTTCACATTGTAGTTCTTTCGGAGCTCTTAGATGGATGCCATCTGGTCCTGGTGACTTATTACTGTTCAGTTTATCGATTTGTTCCAAAACCTCCTCTAATGAGACTTCAGTCTGGGACAATTCCTCAGATTTATCACCTTGAAAGAATGATTCAGGTTTGGGAATCTCCCTCACATCCTTAGCGGGAAGATCGAAGCAAAGATTTCATTTAAATTCTCTTCAGTGACCTTATCTTCCTTGAGTGCTCCTTCTATCATCTAGTAGCCCCACTGGTTGTTTAGCTTCCTGCTTCTGATGTACTTACAAAAACTCTATTACTTTTTGAGTATTTAGCTAGCTGTTCTTCAGATTTCTGTTTGGCCTTCCTACGTATTTTTACATGTCGTTTGACTACTTTATATTCCTTTCTGTTTTCCTCACTAGAATTTAACTTCCACTTTTTAAACTATACTTCTTTTATCTCTCTGATTCTTTTACTTGGTTAAGTCAAGTCACAGTGGCTCTTTTTTATTCTCTTACTGTGTTTTATTAATTTGGAGTATATATTTAAATTGAGCCCCTGTTATGGTATCTTAATAAGTTTTCATGTATCTTTCAGGAATTTTACTTTTGGCACTGTACCTTTTAATTTCTGTTTAGCTAACCACCTCATTTTTGTGTACCCTTTCTAAAATTAAATGCCACCGTGTTGGTCTGCTGTGATGTTTTTTCTGCCACGGGGATATTAAATTTAATTATATTAGGGGACTACACCCACTGCTCTCTACACTCGCCAGCCCTTCCATCCCCCAGTGGGTTTTGTGGCCTGAGAGCGTGATGTCATTCTGTCGCCCAGCAAGAAAACTTTTTTATATATAGAGAGAGAGATTATGGTATTTTTATTGCCTCTCTAATCTCTTTTATCTTTTCATGGTCACTATCACTATCCTGGTCAGGTGATTGGTAATATGTCCCTACTTCTATGTTCATATTATAAGAGCATGGAATTACTATCCATGAAGATTCTATGGAACAGTTTGGTTCATTTATGATTTTTACTTCATTTGATTCTACGCTTTCTTTTGCCACTCCTCCATCAGCATGATCAGTTCTGTCCTTCCAATATATTGTGTACCCTAGTATTATGATGTATTATCCTCATTCCACCGAGTTTCTGTGATGCCTGTTGTATCAATATCTTCATTCAAAACAATGTATTCTAGTTCACTCACCTTATTTTTTAGACTTCTAGTGTTTGTATATAAGCACCCTAAAAAAATTGTCACTATTTACTGTCTGCCATTACCTAATGTGATTGAATTGGATTCTGTCATGTAACTGTTTCTCATCAGCTCTTATCCATATTTTATCATCTTCCATTCTCTCCTCTTTACTAGGACATAGGAAGGCTCTATTAATAGAGATTCGCTAAGGGCTGTCTCTGTCCAATCCATGTGCTCCTCTGCACCTGTTGGCTTTCTCCCAGACCTTACTTTTAAAACTGCTCTACAACCCTTTTAATTTTAAGTGCCAGCAATCTGGTTCCATTTTGGTTTAGGTGGACCCCATCCTTCTAGTATAGGCTCGGTCTTTCTTTAAAGTTTCCCCAGTTCCTAATAAATCTAAATCCTCGTCCCTACATCATCGTCTTATCCATGCATTGAGACCCTGCAGATCTACCTGGCTACCTGGCCTGCACCTTGTAGTAAGCTTCCACTAATACCAGGGAGCAAGGAAAGTAGCTAATGGGTGCTCTGAAATCACTTCTTCATGTATCCACTTCTGTCTACAGCCACCAGCAAAACGCTCTGAGAAACACATATTTAGGGGATCTGGTATATTAAATCACGTTTGTTTGAAATTTTAACTTGCCTAATTTAAAGTGGGAGAAAATAAAGTCATTTTGATGTGTAACCATATTATGAAAAACTTACTGGTGAAAGCACAGAACAAAATGAGAGGACGTAAACTGGGGGGGGGTTGTAAACTAAAGGCTTACAATTAGAGGTTTTCAAAGCTTCTGATGAGGTTACAAAAACTGTTCTAGGAACAGAACAAAACTGTTCTAGAAACAGAGAAGGTCAACAAATACAATTGAGTGTATTGAAAAGCATCCATAGGAGGAGAGATTAAAAACACTGGGACTTATCAGCTTGGGAAAGAGATCTCTAAGATATGATAGAAGTCTATAACATTTTGACTGGTGTGGGGAAAGTGAACAGGGAAATGTTATTTACTCTTTTACATAACACAAGAACTGGAGGTCACCCAATAAATTAATAGACAGCAAATTTAAAATAAACCGAAGGAAGTACTTCACACGACACACAGTCAACCTATGGAACGTGTTTCCAGGGGCTACTTTGAAGACCAAAAGTATAACAGGGTTCAAATGGGAAAGGGTTCTCTTTACTGAACCCAAGAGATAATCAGACCTGTCAATACAAGATAGTTCTATCTACATTATGGAATTTTTGTCAAAAGTTACCCAGCATTCCCAATGTAGGTTCAGGGTCACTATACAGATGGTCCTGCAGCACCTTACACACTAACAAAACATGTAGATAGTATCATGAGCTTTCGTGGGCACAACCCACTTCTTCAGATAAGTGGATTCAGGTGTCCAGGATACAAATAAATAGCAGAAAAAGGGGGATTGGGTGGGAAAGAGGGGGAAAATCCTTGTCATTTAAAGTGTCCATGCTGAATGGGTCTAATAGAGTGGGCTGTAAGTGCCCGATACTTCACTTTTGATGTTATTTGGGTGTTGAATGTAACGGCCCATACAGTTTATGTCTTTGTTCATACCTTGGTTAAACATGTCAAGTTTTCATATGAAGGCAAGTTCTGCAGTTGCTCTTTCTAGCTGGTTTCTGAAATTGCTTTGTAAGAGTATAGTCACTTTTAGATCCATTAATAAGTTTCTGGGCAAATTAAAATTTTCCCCAACAGGTTTCTGTGTGTTTCCATTTCAACTATCTGATTTGTGTCCATTGATCCTTTGTCATAGAGACTGTCCAGTTTGACCAATATACAGTTACAGATTAACACGGCTACCCCTCTGAGACTACTATACAGATGATTTATCTAATTCTCCTTCCAATGTCTGAAGTACTGACTGAGGTACAGATGGCTAAAAGGCTCTTGCAGTTTTGAGGGAGTTGATAAGTTTTAGTTAACCTTTGGAAAGTTGTCTTCAACAACTGACAGAGCTAGAAACTGTCTTCTTTTTTTGTAACATTGAAGCCTACATTCTGCAGAACAAAAG